GACGCGGGAGCCCGGCCCCCGGAGGCCGCGCAGGAGGGCGGTGCGGGGCGATGGGGCGGCCGGCCCCTCGGATGGGGCGCAGAGGGGCCGCCCCACTGCACAGACGCGGAGACTGAGGCCCCCAGGGGCCGCGGCTGGCGCCATCGCGGGTGGGGACCTGGAGACCCCGCCAGAGAGGGGCCGTTTCAGAGCCGGAGTCCCGAGATGTCGCCCGCAATGACACACCCGACAGCTGCCCAGGACGGACAAACCCGGGCACGGGTCCCCAACCTTCCAGCCGCTCGGCACCGAGGGCAGCCTGCTGGGCACTCACCTGCCGGGCTCGGGCTGGGCGGAGGGGCGCTGGGCAGCGGGGCTGGGGTCACGGCAGCGGCGGGAGGGCTCGGACTCACCTCGCGTCGGTGGCGGCGGGGGCGATGGTGGCGGCGTCCGGGGCGCTCCAGCCGGCAGGCGTATTGTCCGCGGCGGGCGCCGCGCGCGACCCTATAAACCGCCGGCCCCGCCCCGGCCCGCCCCGCCCCCGGGGGCCGCCTCTCCCGCCCATCGCGCCGAGTCCGGGACCCAGGTCCGAACGGCAACAGAAACGCTACTAATGTGATCTGTTGACTTGTTTACTGTCTCTGCCTCCTGCTCTCTGCAGGCTTGTTCAGTCGCGTGCGCTGTTTCCCAGCACGGGCGTGCACACAGGAGGCTCCCAGGAATGTCTGTGGATGAAGCCACTGGCTGAATTTGGGTCTATAATCCAGAATATTTACCTGGATTGCCTCACTTCGTCCTCAGAGCAGTCCTAAGGGCTCGGTGCTTTTTTTATGCCCATTTTACCGATGAGGAAACCGAGGTTCTAGAGGACCAAATGACTTGCTAAGTAGCGTGAATTCAGCGCTCAAATATTCCTGCTCTTTGTGCTGGCAGCGTTGGGCTTATGCTTTGTTTTGGTTTTTTTCATTTTTTTAAACTGGGGTAAAATACACGTAACATAAAATTTCCCATCTTAACATTTGTAAGTGTACTGTTCAGTGGTATTAAATACATTCAGAATGTGCAACCATCACCACCACCCATCTCCATAACTTTCCATCTTGTAAAACAAACTCTATACTTATTAAGCAATAACTCCCCATTTCCCCCTCCCCCCAGGCCCTGGCAACAGCGGGAGTTAGATATTTTTAAGCCCATTTCACAAATGTGAAAAGTAGAGCTAACACTTTGGTAGAAACAGAATCAACAGCATCCTAAGTCTGGGGTCTTCCTGCCCCACTCCCCCCCCCCCACCGGATCCTTCCAGCAGCACCACCCACTGCACCCCCATTCCCCTGCCTCCAGAAGTGGGCACAGCTCTCCCTGTCCTGGGGCTCTTGGGGCTTTTGGGGCTCTTGGGGCTCCTGGGCCGAAACAGGGGCAGAGCCAGGCCCCCAAGGCCCCCGTGGGAAGCAGAAGAAATCAGAAGTTTCCCCTCTTGCAGTGGGTTACCGAGGGGTAGGGTCTCCAGAGCTCCTGGTGTGTTGAGGGTGGAGGAGGGCAGAACAGTGAGGTGGGATTACAAAGTAACCATTGTCCCAGGAGCACAACAGGCTTGTTTACTTCAGTCCTGCCGGCCCTGCGGGCAGAGGAGCAGCAGAGTCCAGGGGGGCTCCCCTCCTCCTAGTTCTGCCATTTGCTACCTGTTGGGGCCTCATCACCCCTTCTTCCCACCTCTGGAGTGACAACAGTGAGACCCACTTTTCCTTCAGTGTTCCCATCTGTGAAATGGGAGAACAGTGCAGACCCACCCCACCCCCCACGCCCCTCCCCCGGGCTGCGGGAGGATCAGAGGAGCTAATCATGGAATGTTTAGTCAACTCCGCAGAGCTTAAGCTTCAAGGCCCCTCCCTCCCTCTCTCTGGGCTCTTCTGGCCTCTTGTGATTCTGTAATCCTTTCTTTGAGGGCCCCCCAAATCACATCAGCTCCAAGCCCCACAAAGCCTGAATGGCCCTGACCATTGCTGATAGCTACAGGGTGCCTTACAGGCCGGAGTGAGGAGCCCTGCAAAGTAGGGGCCTCTCTCCAAATACACTCTGCAGATGCAAAAACAGACTGGGGGGGGGGGGGAGACACCGGGTCTCATGGATCAAAAAGATCCAACGTGTGTGAGAATGCTTCCAGAAGGGTCTTGGGGCTGAGGGCACAGTGCCAGACACGCAGTAGGTGTTCAATAAACACAGACTAGATGGAGGAAGGAGGACGGTTTGGGGACAGATGGGGAGAGAGGGGGTGGAAGTGCCAAAGGGAGAGGGGTGGAGAATGTTTGCCTTGCAAGGTCCCGAGATAATATGCTAATCAAATGGACCTGAGGATGCAAAAACCTTTGGAATAAGAATTGGGCCTGTAGAAGCCCTTGGCTTCCTATTAGTCTAAAAAAGGCCTTGGGTCAGGTGACAAATGATAATAGCAATAACAATACTAATGGCAGCTGCCGCCATCTGTTCAGGTCCCCCAAAACCAGGCTAGGCACTTTCTATTATCTCCTGTAATCCTACAACTGCCCTGTAGGGCAGGAACGGCCATCCCTGTGTTACAGACACCGAACACCCACAAAGGGTCTGCGCACAGGCAAGAGACAAACTATAGCCCCACTTTACAGATCAGGAAACTGAGGCTCAGAAAAAGGAGGCCACTTGCCGGAGACCACCCAGCCCGTGGACAGCAGAGGCAGATTCAAGCCCAGGTGGCCCCACTCCTCCTGCAATGCCCTCTCCACTCCTCCACAGCTGGTCCCCAAGCCTCCTGGGCCTCAGTTTCCCTTCTTCATCGGGATTTGCTGGCCTGTCCTAGGGCCACTGGGCTGTGGATCGGGGTCTCTAAGAGAATGCCATGACCCAGTGGGGCAGCCCTTTCCTTCCCCGGGGGCCTCCATCCCGAAGAGCTGCCTCTGGGGCCTCTGGATCCTCCGGGCCCCAGCCAAGCCCCTCCAGCTGAGGCCACGACCACTCCTCTCTGTGGTTTAGGGATCCACTGCCCCACAGACCCTCCTGCGCCAACTTAGGGTTGAATTTTGTCCTTGATATGACTTTTTTTGATCATTCATTTAACAAATATTGATTGACACCTATGCCAGGCAGGGTGGTAGATGATGGGGATCTACATGTGACACATTCTAGTAGGGGGCCCACATCCAAGTAGGGGAGACAGTGGAGGAGAAACCAGCTGACAGGAAAATAGAGCCCCGGGCAGCTTGGTATACAGCAGGTGCTCAAGGAGGGAGAGTAAAGCCAGTTTGAGGGAGAGTGGGGAGGGCTGGGTCTTTTAGCCAGGGTGGTCAAGGGAAGCCTCAGTGAGGATGTGACCTTCGTGCAAAGACTTGAGAGAAGTGAGGACACTGGTCTTCCAGATGCGACAATACTCCCACACCCAAGGGCGGGGAGGAGAGGGGGGAGAGGTGGGGGCAGCAGGGCAGGAGGGCTGGCCAGGTGCTAGCCTCAGCATCCAGGACCCACCTGGGGGAGCCGGGCGCCAGTGCAGGTTTTAAATAACCCTATCTTTCCACTTGCCATCCCAGACTTTTGTCCCCAGCCTTGGGACACTTTATCTGGAAGATCCTCCGGCTTTGAGAGAGGCTTTGTAATATCAGGAGAGACCCATCAAAGGGCTTTGCTGCTCTCCTGAATTGCGCCTGAGCTCCTGGCCGGGAGCTGGAGGCCAGCTCCTCACAGGGGCATTTCACCTGTAGTCGCATGGTGGATGCCTCCTGGGGGTACCTTTGCAGGGCAAAGGCCATCGAGAGCCCCCTGGGCTGGGCGAGTTGCCTGGGTGATTTCGTGTACCCCTTATGGCCCCCTGCAGGGTAGATGTCCCCATCACACAGATGAGGAAACTGAGCCTCAGAGAGGGGTCCTAAGGGGTCCAAGGCCACACAGCCAAGAGATTGGAGAGCTGGGGCTTGAACCCAGGTCTCCCTGTCCCATCTGACTTGGGCGTCTGTAGCTAGGCTTCAGGAAGTCTGTGAACCCCCTAAAGTGAAACAAAGTTGTGGTTGGGGTATAAGCCTTTTCTGGGGAGGGAACCCGCAGCCTGGTGGGTCAGGACTGGGACTCTGGGGTTCACTCAGCCCTGAGTTTGAATCCTGACCCTGCCACCATGACTTGTGTGGCCTTGGGCAAGTGCTTGGGCCTCTCTGAGGCTCTGTCCCACCCCCTGTGAAACTCCCCACCTCCCAGGGCTGTTATAACGATGAAAGCACGTGAAATCCTCAGCGTGGTGCCTGGCGCACAGTAGGTGGTCAATAAACCCAGAGGCTCTTATTGAAGGAGTTGGTCAAGAATTGGTAAAGAGTTTAACATTTTCACAAAAGAAACTGTATCTTGGAGATGCGTCCTCTATTAAACGAAATACACTTTACAAATCAGTGTCCAGTACAATTTCATATTTTTAAAAAATCCATATGGAACACTCTGGAAGGAAATATAGCACTGAAAAATGGGGATAGTGGTCATCTCTGGGCATAAGGTGGTTTAGTTTTCTGCCTTGTGTTTTTCTGTATTTTCCAGATTTTCTATATAAATGTATTAACTTGGTAATCAGAAAAACATCACTTTTTTTTTTAAAGAAGAGGAAGAAAACTATGTTTGGTCTTGTCCTAATAGGTTCCCTCCTCTGGAAACCCCGGGCGACCTTGGGAACCAGGGGCAGAGGCAGGGACTCAATTGGTGCCTCGTGGGCCACGAGGGGATCTACCTACCAAGCTAGGAGGAACTTACCAGTGGAGATTCAAAAAGAGTTTGAAATGAGAGTCCGGACTCAGGTAGTGTGGTGCAATGCGGTCAGCGGCCTCGGCAGGGGGAGGGAGAGCTGGAGGACCAAGGAGCAGTTGCATCACTCAAGGTCGACTCCAGGAGTCTGCCTCCCCAGCCTTGGTGTGCTCTGGAATTTATTGAGTATAGAAGCTTTCGGGGAGGGAGGGGGAGGAAGGAGTAGGGGAGGGGTCCAAGCAGCAGTGTGAAATCTTCCTCTGTGGTCAGCTGGGTGTTGTCTTCTTTTTTTTTTTAAGATTTTATTTATTTATTTATTTTCCCCCCAAAGCCCCAGTAGATAGTTGTATGTCATAGTTGCACAGCCTTCTAGTTGCTGTATGTGGGACGCGGCCTCAGCATGGCTGGAGAAGCAGTGCGTTGGTGCGCGCCCAGGATCCGAACCTGGGCCGCCAGCAGCGGAGCACGCGCACTTAGGTGTTAAGTCTTCTTTGCTCTAATATGCGCTCTAGCAAAGCAAGCAATATAATGTCCACAAAGTCAGGTCTCTCTGAATCAAAAAGGGCGAGGAGAATGTCCAAGACCCCACTGACTTGATCCCGGAGCTCCGGTTCCATCCGGTGCTCCTTGGTTCTCGGGCCGTCCACCCATGATGCCTTTACATTGTCCCAGACCAGAGCTGAGCCAGAGACAATGGCAAATGCCTAGCCCCACATGGGAGACAAAATCAGGACGGAGTACATAATGGGTCTCAGACAGAAAGATCTGGGCCTCAGGAGAGGGAAAGAGAGGGACAGGTAAGAGCTGGGCTCCTAGAGA